CAACAGGCTATAAAACATCATATACAAAACTAATAAGTCGAAGAGAGAGAGACGAAAACACAGACAACAGGCTATAAAACATCATATACAAAACTAATAAGTCGGTGAGAGACGAAAACACAGACAACAGGCTATAAAACATCATATACAAAACTAATAAGTCGAAGAGAGAGAGACGAAAACACAGACAACAGGCTATAAAACATCAGATACAAAACTAATAAGTCGAAGAGAGACGAAAACACAGACAACAGTCTATAAAACATCATATACAAAACTAATAAGTCGAAGAGAGACGAAAACACAGACAACAGGCTATAAAACATCATATACAAAACTAATAAGTCGGTGAGAGACGAAAACACAGACAACAGGCTATAAAACATCATATACAAAACTAATAAGTCGAAGAGAGAGACGAAAACACAGACAACAGGCTATAAAACATCATATACAAAACTAATAAGTCGAATAGAGACGAAAACACAGACAACAGGCTATAAAACATCATATACAAAACTAATAAGTCGAAGAGAGAGAGACGAAAACACAGACAACAGTCTATAAAACATCATATACAAAACTAAAACACGAACCCCACCAAAAACCGGAAGGGTTAGCAAATCCTGCTTCGTATGTGACACCCGTCGTGTAATCCCTATGAAATATGTTGTCAAGTTATATTAAGGGATTAGGCATCACGCAATAGTAGATTGGTAATTGATTCTTGTCTAACCCAATACATCGTTTTTCGCGGCAAAGGATCATAGCATAGACAAGACCGGACAAAACGGACATTGAAAAATTAAAAAGGTCAAAGTACAACACGGAAAAACACAAACCCCTTTCAAACAGAACTAGGGGTGATCTTTGGTGCTCAAAGTCTAAGCAGATCCTGCTCCACATGTGACAACCGTCGTGTTGCTCAATCGGAGAAAAGAGGACGGGAGAATGGCTTCGACAATTGGAACATATCCGTGTTTATGTTAAACAAACCGGAGTAATAATTCAAATAAACATTACCACAAGTCGATCAAATTAGATACTACCCGGTATTTCGTACTTTTATATTTTATCACTATTTCATTGGAAAATGGGAGAAGAAACCATAGGGTCACAAAAAACGAAGAAAATCAAACAACACATGGTAAAATGTAAAAGGACGAAAAGAGATAAACAACAGTCCACAAAAACTAGATGAACTCTGGTGCTCCGGAAGGGTAAGAAGCTCTTGTGTACGTAGCTGAGTGAGTAACAACATCATTAACAAATGTTGCCAATAGTTTACAAGAAAAAAATGCAGAAATACAGACATGATCAAAGGTACAACCACTAAATAAAAAGATAAAACACCAAATCTTAAAACCGCAAAACAATAAATGCTGAGAGGACAGGCAGGATATAAAAAAAACTAAATACGTGTTTCTTATTTGTTAAATTCTTTTTTCGATATAATCTTTGTGAACAGTCGATTGAAGTCTTTACAATATAGCAACTCGTTTCGTTGTTTTTTTCTATATAATATTCATTTGGGCTTTTTTATTTTCTTTACCGGAGAACAAATCTTGTCAAAAACCTTTTAGATCGGAATAGTCGAAATATTTTGCTGCTATTTTCTGTCTATTAACTTTTCCAAAAACATATCAAATGATTAGAACAACAGGCGATAGGAGTTTTGGCACGAGACAGTTTGTTAGGCTGTCTTATTCCCTCAAGGTTTAAGTTCCCAAAGGGAATCATTGTCAACAGCGGATGAATATTAAAATAACTCTTTACTGATGCCCAAGCGGATGAATATTAAAATAACTCTTTACTGATGCCCACGCGGATGAATATTAAAATAACTCTTTACTGATGATGCCCAAGGGGAATCTCCCTTTACATAATGCCTTAATGGGGAGCTTTCTAGATTGCCACTATGTAAAAAAGAGATGGGTTTCTCGTATGCATCATAAGATAACGACTTTAGATACAACGTGATTCCCCTCGGGCATTATGTAAGGTAGATTCCCCTTGGGCATCAGTAAATTTCCTGCACACCAATACGAATACTTTATTAAACCGAGCATCGGTCCATAAAGGGCACGTTACATATAATGATTACAATAAGACATAAGTAAAGACACAATAATCTATTATGATTATTCTTACCGAGTTACCGTGATGCATATGTCTATTTGTCCACATGAAAGGAGCCAAAAAAATCTGTTTTATGTATTTAGGTTTTAAAAATTATTACATATTTTTAAGGCAAAATCTAACATAACTTTTTTCGAATACTGGATATTCCATCAGAAAATGAATTTCATCTTCAATTGAATTTAAAGAACAAAATTCACAAATTCTTTAATCTTTGTCAATCTTTTTATGACGACCCTACTCAATAGCTAATTTATAAGCACTAATTCTCATTTGTGTGAGGTGTTTTCTAGTTTCAAAATTCTTTAAAACATTTAGATGAGTCTCCCTTTTGAAAATATCATTAAATTTGAAATAAGTTCGTAAATTACCCTTTTTCACAGTAGCATTCAGTAAAAGATAATCTTTTAAAAATTACATTAACCTTTCAATGTAAACATCTTTAATCTCGTTAGCATTAAGATTAATACCTACTTTCAAGTGTTGGCAATAAAAACAATAGAAGAATACTTTGTTTGTATACCATTCTGCTGTATATCAGTGCTATCTGTGAGAGTTTGACTTAACAAATGACGGGCATACATGTCTTTGATTCTACAGAAACATTTAATTAGTGAACAAATAATATCAATATGAATTTGAGTACGATAAAGTTCCCCGTGAACTGCTAAGTTAGACGCTCTACTATAAACTCCAAGTATATGCTTATAAAATGTAAAATGTACACTGAAGAGTTATTTCAATTTTCATCCGCGGTTCACAATGATTCCCTTTGGGGAATAAGTTAGCGTCACAAACTCTCCTGTGCGAGTTTTGTGCACCATTGGCTTAAAGTATTGCTATGCTAATACATCCCTCACGTACCACCTTAAATGTATTTCCAACTTGCTTTATACGTCTATGGACTAGGTTAGAACTTTTGTTCGTGAATAATAATAAACCAAACATGTTATTTAGTCTGACGCCACTTTTTAACATGAAAATCAATGATATCGCATATAAAAATACTCTCAGTTACTTAAAGCAAGCTCAAAGTATTTAACTTTTTATGCTGACATAAAATCATGCCCTATTCCTACGCACAACAACACCATATACTTATTTTACAAAACACCACCTATAATATGATGTTCTCCTTCTTTGTTTTCTTCTCTTTCTCTTTATTTGTCAAACTTCATTGTAGATATTAAGCTGACATTTCATATATGGTTGTAAAGACGGAATTTTAAGACCTTTCAAATTTTGCTCTGTGCGCCAGTCTTCTGATCTAATATCAACTGAGGGACGGAGAACATTTTATGTGAATGAAAACATTTTAGTTGATAGTTTTCCACTCTTGTGTATATTGTTTTGATATTATTTTATCCTATATTAAAAGTATCATAGTACCATTAAGTTTAGAATAACTAAGACTTGATAAAAAAGGAAGGTATTTGATTTTATCATACTTCATGTCAAAATGCCAGACTTTGATTGGTTAATACGAGGGAGACAATTTACTCTATATCATGGCAAATACTCTATTACCCTTCACGGAGACGCTTGCTCAAGTGTGCGCTTTAATAAATACGGATGATTGTTATGTACAAGACGACATAGTTTATTACTTTGAATTTGAAATTCATAATTCAGCTTTGTGTTATTTATATACTGGTATGTTGATATACCATTAACTTTAGAATAACTAAGACTTGTTTTGGTGAAAAGAAAGGTATTTGATTCTGGTATGTTGACATACCATTAACTTTAGAATAACTAAGACTTGTTTTGGTGAAAAGGAAGGTATTTGATTCTGGTATGTTGACATACCATTAACTTTAGAATAACTAAGACTTGTTTTGGTGATATTTGATTCTGGTATGTTGACATACCATTAACTTTAGAATAACTAAGACTTGTTTTGGTGAAAAGGAAGGTATTTGATTCTGGTATGTTGACATACCATTAACTTTAGAATAACTAAGACTTGTTTTGGTGATATTTGATTCTGGTATGTTGACATACCATTAACTTTAGAATAACTAAGACTTGTTTTGGTGAAAAGGAAGGTATTTGATTCTGGTATGTTGATATACCATTAACTTTAGAATAACTAAGACTTGTTTTGGTGAAAAGGAAGGTATTTGATTCTGGTATGTTGACATACCATTAACTTTAGAATAACTAAGACTTGTTTTGGTGATATTTGATTCTGGTATGTTGATATACCATTAACTTTAGAATAACTAAGACTTGTTTTGGTGATATTTGATTCTGGTATGTTGACATACCATTAACTTTAGAATAACTAAGACTTGTTTTGGTGAAAAGGAAGGTATTTGATTCTAGTATGTTGACATACCATTAACTTTAGAATAACTAAGACTTGTTTTGGTGATATTTGATTCTGGTATGTTGATATACCAATAACTTTAGAATAACTAAGACTTGTTTTGGTGAAAAGGAAGGTATTTGATTCTTGTATGTTGACATACCATTAACTTTAGAATAACTAAGACTTGTTTTGGTGAAAAGGAAGGTATTTGATTCTGGTATGTTGATATACCATTAACTTTAGAATAACTAAGACTTGTTTTGGTGAAAAGGAAGGTATTTGATTCTGGTATGTTGATATACCATTAACTTTAGAATAACTAAGACTTGTTTTGGTGAAAAGGAAGGTATTTGATTCTGGTATGTTGACATACCATTAACTTTAGAATAACTAAGACTTGTTTTGGTGAAAAGGAAGGTATTTGATTCTGGTATGTTGATATACCATTAACTTTAGAATAACTAAGACTTGTTTTGGTAAGAAGGTAGGTATTTAATTCTGATATGTTGATATTGTTGTCGTAAACTTTTTCTTGTTTTATTTCTAGTTACAAGTACATCAACATAATCTGGTTTTGTTCCAATTGGTTCGCAATGAGTAACTCGTGTTATAATCCATTCATATATGGTCTCCTAAATGTAAGTATCAATATATCTTACAACACTTTGAAGCTTGTTTGCCTAAACGTTAAAAGATTATAAATTGAGAGCAAAAAAAATAAATCGAACAATATTAAGTATTATCTTTTTGATTGCACGTATTTTGAAAAAGCAATTTATCATATAGTGTAATTATAGTTTTCAGCTATTTGACTGGCATGTAAACTGACATATGTAACTTAAATGCACAATTACATAGTTAGCATCATCTTTGTAAAATAAGACAGAAGACATCAAAGAGACAATACAAAATCATAAAGCAAAGATTATCAGATAATAAAATTATCATGGAATAAAAACGAAAAACGACGAAAAGACAAACAAAAGTCCACAGAGCACTCCATAGAAAATACTAAAAACCGAGCAACACGAACGGCACCAAAAACCGATATCGGTGAAAAGTTTCATTCGTTGATGGCACAATCGATGTAATGTAAGAATTCAAGACTAAAACGCACAAACTTAAGGCTAATAATTTCAAATGTTACTACAAGGATACCTTTGGTGACGTCTTGATGCTCTTGTTCGATCAGTTACATTTCAGACTTATTTTTCCAAATCATCTTAATATTAATTATTATGTATCATACAATCTCAGCTATCCAATTTTTGAATATATGCCTCTCAAGTCATTCCCCTTAAACCAATTGAAATATCAGAATCCCCCATGACTGGGTAACATTTCTAAATATATGACCACTGACCTTGACCTTTGGTTATTTGGTATTATTCGATTACAACCAGGACACCAGACGCAATTCGTCTTTTATAATAACTAAAGTAAAATAAGTTGAAACTAATAGACCTCTCTTCAAATTGCAAATATTTAACAAAGTAATAAAGGAAATAATGGAAGAAAAGTATTGATAGATTACTGTAGTAATAAGGCCATTCATCAAAAAAGAATTGTGCCCATCAGACAAGAAGTTTGGAGAAAGACGAATGAAATTTTTAGGTTCATTAACTTGTCGAAGGAGTGCTTGATTAACAATAACAAAAATCTGAACAATCAAAGCGATCACGTGATTTATTCGTTACGTTGACGTGGAATATAGTTAATAGTTCCGAAAAGGGCTAATAAAACTATTTTCCTGTGTCTGGAAATGTAACATAGTAAAATCAATCTAGTTACCAATGCAAATTGTTATACTAGTATATTGTTCTCCAAACAATTTCCAGTAAATTAAACTATTCTTAGTATTTATCATTGAGAAAATCCCAGTTAGCTAACCCTTAATTCAATTGCTTTACCAAATAATATTAGACGTTCATTCCATTCATCACTGTACCAGATGAAGTTTGATAAGATTAGTCTCAAGTATTTCATAACGTGCTACAAAGTAAATTCACTTATAAAAGATCAGAACGGAACAGACACTATTAAAGATACCATTTTCCTACAACCCTTTTTCGCAATTTTTTAAAGGATTATAATAAATTAATCTGATATGCGTTTATTGCTGACTGTGAATCATAATTGCTCCATAAAAGCATGTAAACCTACAATGGATAGTTTGAATTTGAAAAAAAAAATTAGAAACTTAATCTACATTACACCAGATTTGACAATTATATAATTCTTTCTTAACTTATGATTCCATTGCATCACCAATGAAACATACACCACACGGTACTGCTTTTAAGGAGGAAATGTAATCAATTATCTGTTATGAAAGGCTTTTCTAAAACTTTGAATGACATTAAGCTATTTTTTTTCTATTCATATCAGAGTTAAATAAGTGCCAATATATAATACCCATTCTGACATTTACGCAACCATTTTAACTGGTGACTTTAAAGCTTTAATTGTATTACAAATAACATTTTCCATTTTGATAGGGACACTAAAAACTTGAAGGGTTGTTTGGTACAGCATTCAATAAGTCATGTATTAACCCTAATAATGAGGGCCAAGAAATCTTCATTTTTATCTCATTAACTTCCTTCTCGATATGAGTATGTAGGGAAATTGTGAGGACATAGGACTTTCAGTCCACACTACAATAAGTTTTCAACAAAATTCTAAAACATTTAAAATAAAAGCTCAAAATATATAAAATCATATTTTTTTTTTAATTTTCCCGACAATAAACACATTTAGAAATAAAAATATGAACATCACAAAAAGGAAAGTTCCAACATGTGAACTGAAACAAAAAATGTCACATAAGTAGAATAGAACCAAGATATCAAAGTTTTATTGATTATCATGTGTGTTGTTTTCCAATACTGCAACTCCTCCAGGCAAAGTTGATCTTGGCCGGATTTGGCTGTTCTGTAAAGGGGCGTATGGTTAAAAGCTCTAAAATGTTTGTATTTTTTTGGCTTTCCAAACTTTTGGCCAAGAACATACCCGATGAAAGTTATTTAAGAGGATCAAATGTTTTACTACCATTATGTTGTCGATCACAAAGGTACATGAGACTGGGTGCGTGTTGTGCACACGGAAATCGTATCATATTTTTTTAAAATGCAACCATACATGATTCATGGAAAATACATATGCCACACAGTCTCTTTGTAAAAACGTTCTGGCATATGACCTGTAAATGCTTAGATAAAACATTGCAACACAGTTCATTTTGTATCCTATATTCTATAATTCATGAGAACTCTAAATATTATGTGGTTGACTTCTATCGGAAGAAGGAGAAGAGATCAACTGAACTTGTATTACGCTTAACATAACAGGCGTACCAGCCTAAATATGAACACCTCGGGGTTCTACGAAATTTCTTCTACTTTTTCTGTTGCAATTGGGTAATTTTATGCGTTTCCCCTCGGATTTCTATTAGACCAACAGCGGCTGTATAATTTAAAGGATGAAAAGTGTGCCATATTTTTCAAAGTAATTCTTTTTTGTTTTTGTTTCAGGATAAATTTAAACGAGCATTTCGCCGAATATTTTGGAAATGTTGTCGAAAACTGTACAAGGACCACGATTTTCCAGATTTCTCTGATGACCTGACCATACGGACGAGTTTCATACACAACGGGAAATATCGGACATCGGTGAATGGATCAATGTATTCCAGACATCACCGGAGGTCGACAAAATTATCGATAGAAAATGTCGACCCTGCGATGGTGTGACTATTATGCAAATAACAATGGTCCTGATGATATTGATACGACCAAAAGCTGATAGGGACAAGAATAAGTTTGAATGGTGGAGATAAGTAAAAAACTTATTTGACAATCGAGAACGACGGTTTAATGATAACCGAGCCACAAGTGCAAGTTGAGAATTCACCTTCCTGTAAATTAATAACACCGACGCTATAATTAGACAGACAATTTAAGTTTTGAAATATTATGAGAATGAACCGATTATCAATGATTACCAACGGAGCCGGTATTCCTATGGGTTTATCAAAGCAAAACCTTCTTGCGTGGTATTACCCTTAACCCAGTTAATAACAACAAAAACAAATATACTGTATATTATAAATATTTATAACACGTCATCAGCTTGGAGCTCATCACAAATAAAGTGTCACGTTTAATGCTACTCATGTTTAAAACAATTCATGTTTTATTTCACTTATATGTTGCACGTATATTCTTTTACATCCTATTTCATTTCAGCATCCATTTCAATTTACATAATAAATAACAATAACTTTGAATTCAGAATTTTATGTAGAGAGTATGCAATATCTACTGTTACATACAATAAGCTATGTTGACAACGATAGCCACTTCATGTGTTTCATTCATTAGACTAATTACACACCTTACATTTAGCTGGCCATGTCACATCTTATTCTTACCTAAAGACAATCCAAAGATAATAGCTGAGATAATTTCCTATTTGTGTTATTTAAGTAGTTTTTTTCTATATGAATTGGGTTTGAATAAAACAGCATATTCACCGCATGAATAATTATTGTAAAATATTGGTCTAAAACTGATGTTCACTTTGGCTGTTGCCCTCAGCAATTATAAGTTTTTTTTTCAAAAGTCAATAAAAACTCATATTTTACCTCACCAAACGGTAGTGATTGCATAATATTTGATCCCGGTCTTTTTGCAAGCAAAAAGGCATTTTGAAAATTAAACCAATTTATAAAGTCATTATCTACAAAGTGTCAAAATTCGAACTGTCACTTTAATACCATGCACAAAAGAAATCGATATACAACCGTGTGTTTGGTCGGCAGAAGATGAAACTTACCTACTCGTAACCTTCTTTAACTGTTAAGCAAGGCATAAAGTTATAATTTATCAAAAACAGTGTAAAAGGTTTAAGCTTAAAAACAGAAAGAAAGTTTTTACTTTGTCACTTCGCATTAACATGTTCCATATGGGAGATACGTACCATTACGCACTTGAAAAGCAATCGGCTGCACTATCGACATAGAAATCTTAAATAATCAAAATTCTATACAAACTAAATGAAATAGTTATCAACAAATTAATTGGAAGATTACAATGTTCAAATGCTTTAATCATCAAGGCAGATAGGAATCTGGTACTCAAATGACTATATGAAATAACCAGATATGGTATTATTTCCAATGAGACAAGTATCCAACCTGCAACAATGAGCAAAACCCATACCGTATAGTCAATTATTCTGGGATAACATGATTTATCATTAGTTGTAATTGGCTTTGAACTAGCTTTCAGTAGCTGCGAGTACTTTTATATCGGTGTTTTTTATCTATTGTTTTATGGTAGTCATTTTTTATGCTTTGTGCCGATCTATTGAGTTAAACCATTTGCAACTGATTTTTATAGTTTGTTCTTACGATATGCTTTAATTCCAATGTCCAGGGTTAGGGGATGGTTGAGCGCTTACAAACATGTTTAACCCCATCTGTCACAAGTAAGGAGCCTGAAAAATAGTGGTTGTCGTTGGTTCATATCTGTCATCTTTGTCTTTCGTTAATTGTTTTGTTTTAATAAGCTTTTAGTTTTTTTCGTTTGAAATTTTCACATTTTTCTTGTCGTGTCCTTATATAACTGATAATACGGTACGTATGGGGGCCTTTGGTTGCTTATATCTACGTCATTTGAACTATGGTGTTAGTTGTCCCATTGACAGCCATACCACATCTCCTTATTTTTATATTAAGGGTCCCGACATGACATAATAACATTAACGGTACCAGTTTTACTGCACCAGAGGCGCATTTTGACAATAAATATCTCTTCGGTGATGCCAAGGCCAAAATATTTGAAAATTCAAAATTTATTAAAAGAAATGATGAGTATTGGTATGGATTTTTCTCATTGTTGAAGGCCGTACAGGGACCTTTCATTGTTTGTATCCACGTCATTTGTATTTTGGTGGATAGTTGTGGCATTGACAATCAAATCACATCTCCTTATTTCAAAAGATGTGGGGAATACGTCAATGAGACAGCAATCAAATTTAAAAAATAACTAAAAGACATCTAGACTGTGCATGCTAGCTTCTTGGCACATCGTCATTCTGATTAATTTAATCTCGTAGAGCGACGCTGACAAAAATGTCTCCTCACTTATAGCACGTGTCATTATAAAGCTGAATGTAACCCATTTTCAATAAACTACAGTCCCGTCTTCAATAAATGACAGTATTACAATGTATTTAAAAAGGCATATACACTTTATAGGAGAAGCTTCTTTCAATGTTAGATTCAATTTATTTGATTTAGTCAGTTGCGTATTTTGATTTCACTACGATGAAAGAAGAGTAACTCAATAACTGATTGAAGAAAAATGTTTACATAAATGCGTATGACAAGGCCTCATGATTATAATGAAAGAGAAGATGTGAGACATGAGTTAATGAGAGAGCAACAAAATATATAATACTAATAGACCAATGGTATAGATAGATGGAGGCAGAGGTTTGTGTGCAGGTATACATGTTTTATAACCCACGATATTTTGTGCCTGTACAAAGTCAGGTTGTTGTCGCTAGTAGCTGACTGCCATTATAACTTTCGTTTATTGATTTATTAATAACTATACATCAGGCCATTGTTTTTTTTTCTGGAATTGTTAATGTCCCACCATGAAAATAAGCATAAGTTTGAAAACTGAATTAGCCTGCGGGGTTCAAGTTCTGAGAAAACCGAACAATTACATAATATAAGACCCGGAAACTTACAATTACAATGTTTCATTTAATTACGACAGTACTGAACCATTTACTACAGTCGTATTCATCCGCAGGGAGTGATAGTTCCAGTAAAAAGTAGGAATATTAATCGACTGTAATAAGATATACCGTATGAGTTTATTCTGATAATGCAGTTTTTAGGACCAAAATGGATTTAAAACAGGATAAGTATCAAATCAATGTTTGAAAATTTTAATTTACTGAAATCTGAACACATTCTTCATTCTATAAAATATTTCAGAAGATCCATGTCGAACAGTCTTCAGGGGAAATCGTTGATTACATGATGTTTCTGAAATGATAAAAAAAATACATGCTACCGAAGAATCAGTGACACTACTCTTATACATATTGTACTCCGTGTTGAAATATTTCTAACAGGACCTTCAATTTATACTCAGCAGAAAGGATAATACTGTGGAAACTCACAGTATACATGTACCACTAAATTTTCTCTGCATATATGTATTCTATCTGTGAATCCTGACATATAATTTTATGATTTACTGGCTCAAGTGTTTCTTTTGGTTTTCAATAATCTGTAGAATTAAATGAATATTTCACTGTGTTTTTTTTTGCCAAACAATATAATGATTTCCTTTTGTGTGTCAGTTATTCTTTTTACCGGTTTCCAAGCCTTGTATTTGTATGGTTTTGAGCCTTGTACAAATAATTCAATATGTGAGAAAATGCATAGTTATATAGTTATTCGAAATCTCTTTTTTTTTTATTAATCAATTTTATTGCACCTTTGCTGTTAACAATTTACTCAATCTCCCCCCCCCCCCCCCCCCCCCCCCAAATGAATTCAGGATATTTTGCCAAGCCATCTTAAGTCAGTTGCTGTAAAAGAGGGACGAAAGATACCAGAGGGACAGTCAAAACTGCACTAGTTTTCTTTTCTTATACTGAACAACAAAAACGAAAGGATTCATATGTTTCCTGTATAGACAATACACAATGTAAAAAATGTAAAACCAATCGGATTTAAATGTTCGGCTTCTTCAGCAAAAACTCTGGTATCGATAAAAAAAAAATTCTCCGGCGTAAGATTGATTTCAAGCGACTGTTTTGTTATCAATTTTAAAAGAAAAAATAATTTAAGTTGCAATGGTTTTCTGTTGCAGGAACTTTTCTTTATAAAATGAAAAAAAAAATGATAAAAATCATTGGACACCATAACATATTGCCGCAATTACATATGATCAATTCGTTCAACAAAGAAGAAAAAAAAGAAATTAAAAGATAAAAATATAAGTGCTGGCTATAAGTGGTTTATCCGCAATAAGATGTCCGCAAGCCAACAACTTATAAAACATACAGAAAAAAAACATTAGAACACAACAATCAACCACCCGCACACAACGCCCTATATAAAGAAAAAACAAACAACAAGAAAACAACCTACAATAAACCACTCAAAACAACTTGTACAACATACGACAATACAAAGAAAAAAACAAACAACAAGAAAACAACCTACAATAAACCACTCACAACAACTTGTACAACATACGACAATACAAAGAAAAAAACAAACAACAAGAAAACAACCTACAATAAACCACTCACAACAACTTGTACAACATACGACAATACAAAGAGAAAAAACAAACAACAAGAAAACAACCTACAATAAACCACTTACAACAACTTGTAAAACATACGACAATACAAAGAGAGAAAAAAACAAACAACAAGAAAACAACCTACAATAAACCACTTACAACAACTTGTAAAACATACGACAATACAAAGAGAGAAAAAAACAAACAACAAGAAAACAACCTACAATAAACCACTCACAACAACTTGTACAACATACGACAATACAAAGAAAAAAAAACTAACAACAAGAAAACAACCTACAATAAACCACTCACAACAACTTGTACAACCGATTATACGACAATACAAAGAGAAAAAACAAACAACAAGAAAACAACCTACAATAAACCACTCACAACAACTTGTACAACATACGACAATACAAAGAAAAAAACAAACAACAACCTACAAAACATTCGGTTACAACTTGTACAACACACAAATAAATAATGAACAACACAACAGGGTTTATCATTATTAAAAAAAGTACAAAACCAGTGAGATAGTTGATAAAATCTGGGTATCCTTATTTCTACCTCTCTCTATAACTTAATAAAATTGCAAATGGAAACGGGGAATGCGTCAAAGAGACAACAACCCGACCAAAGAGCAGAGCACAAGACCAAGGCCACCAATGAGTCGGGACTTGATCGCAGAGAGAAAATTCTGCACCCGGAGGCGGGCTATAGCTGCCCCCTAAACAATAATGTATACAAGTTCGGCGAAAACGGACGTCACTTTAAACTGCGAAACATATAAATGAACCAAAATTTAAAAAAACATACAAGACTAACAAAGGCCAGAGGTTCCTGACTTGGGACAGGCGCAAAAATGCGGCGGAATTAAACATGTTTTGTGAAATCTCAACTCTCCCCTATACCTCTAGCCAATGTGGAAAAAACAAACACACACAATACGCACAGTAAAATTCAGTTAAAAAGAAGTCCGAGTCCGGTGTTAGAATAGGTAACAGAAGAAACCACAGGCGCTTGGGTTTATGATACAGAAATTTTTTTAAAATTTTTTTTTTTGTTGATTAAAATATTTAATTTTCTATATTTATACTACATATCTATCACTACTGCGCATGTCTCACCTAGTTTCGAGTGATTTTATCAACTTTGAGACAAACCCCTATTTTACTATCCACACTAAGAAACAAAAAGGCAACTAACTCGACGCCATCTTGCGTGCTATAAATAAATAATAAAATTGACCTACCTGGATTCCCCATCGAATTTTATGGAAAACATGCCTTTCTCGCAGTCCGATCGCAGACGTCGTTTCTATTTATCAAATTTGTACTGTTCGTAACATTTTAAGTCCATCTCAAGCGTATAATAAAAAGATTTTCACTATTTTCACTAAATTCAAATTTACGTGCCCGGAAGTTTACTGTTAATATTCAGGGGAAGTTACTTTTTCCCGAACTTTTGTTAAAGGGAAGTAATATTTTCCCGGACTTTTTCGGAACATCTCTGCAAGTACACATAAAACAAAGAAAGGGATACGATGATTTCCGAACTAATACTGAATGTAAACAAACAGATATGATGGACGAAGAACAAGATCAAGCCTTTAATTTGATTGTAAATGCAACCCCCCCCCCCAAAAAAAAATAAAAATAAAATAAAAAAATTAACAGATCAAATGGTCCATGGATTATTTTTTTTATTCTTTTCACAAGACAATTTTGTGTGAGCATTTGTATATTCATAAATTACCATGAAACTATGTTTTCCTTCGTAATTTCTTCCATTGGTTGACTTGCCATTATTTCTAAAACAGATCTTTTCTTTTTTCAGCAACGAAAAAGTTGCGCCTTTTTTATAATAGTTCGGAAATCATCGTATCCCTTTCTTTGTTTTATGTGTACTTGCAGAGATGTCCCGAAAAGGTCCGGGAAAATATTACTTCCCTTTAACAAAAGTTCGGGAAAAAGTAACTTCCCCTGAATATTAACAGTAAACTTCCGGGCACGTAAATTTGAATTTAGTGAAAAAAGTGAAAATCTTATATAATATGCTTGAGATGGACTTAAAATGTTACGAACAGTACCAATTTGATAAATAGAAACGACGTCTGCGATCGGACTGCGAGAAAGGCATGTTTTCCATAAAATTCGATGGGGAATCCAGGTAGGTCAATTTTATTATTTATTTATAGCACGCAAGATGGCGTCGAGTTAGTTGCCTTTTTGTTTCTTAGTGTGGATAGTAAAATAGGGGTTTGTCTCAAAGTTGATAAAAACTCGAATCTAGGTGAGACATGCGCAGTAGTGATAGATATGTAGTATAAAAATAGAAAATTGAATATTTTAATCAACAAAAAATTTTTTTTTTTTTTAAATTCTGTATCATAAACCCAAGCGCCTGTGGAAGAAACTAAGCAAAATGACAATAATCAACATAAATTAACAAAGGACTACTAGCAGTTACTGACATACCAGCTCCAGACCTCAATTAAACTGATTGAAAGATTATGTCTTCATCATATTAAAAATCAAGCGAAATTCATCCCGTTAGCTGTTAAGTATCATACTATCATAAAATACACGATACAAGAACATAACCCTTATCATGCCAACAACTGATTTTAGAATAAATGTGTTTATTTCCGATACAAACCCCTATGAGTGAATCAATATTAATTAAAAAAAATGGCATCTTTAATGACCGGACAACAGTATCGTAGCTATATTCCTTCTGAATAAGTCTGTTTGAAGGTTTGATTAGCTTTTGAGATGAATGGCGACATTTTTGTGCTTTCTATAGAATATTACCATAAAACATGGGATGTGATATACCTGAACGTATAAGATGTCTGCCCGTTAATTAATATTCACGAATGATGTCCTTGTACCGATGGTAAATTTAGTAAATGTTTTGACAAGTTTGTGATATTGAAAACACTGGTGTAATAATTTTTCAGTAATACAGAGATTTCTTTACGTTGTTACATACACGAGTGAATCGAACATGTTTAGATATATAAACACCATAAGATGGTGCCTAGGGAACGTCACCAACGAAAAATGGATAATTAACAATAGGAAATGAAAAATCATCTCTTTTATCGTAAATTTTAGTATTAAGCTTTCCGTTAAAGATATAGATATCAAGATCCAGGAAAGGGCAGTGTTCATTGTTAGTATTAGCTTTATTCAAAGTCAGTTAGTCAGTACTTAACTCGTCATTATTGAGAGCCAATATATCATCTAAATGTCTAAGAGTATTATTAAATTTTTGTATTAGATGTTGTTTCGATTGATCTTTGCTGATTTCAGTCATAAATTGTAACATTACAGAAACATGTCCGCAATAAGTGGTGCACAGTTAGTTCCCATTGCTATTTCGATATCTTGACGATATACGGAATGTCCATAGCGAACAAAAATTAAATTAGGTAAGTGATTTTTTTAAGAGATTATGAGGCAAAGTGGTATATAGGGTAGATAAATCAAAACTTTGAACAGATTCGAAATCACCAATATGAGCATGCAATTTATCAAGTACTTCCATCGATTATTTTGACACTCCAAAAGTAATTAATTCCACTATTTTCAAAGGCCTTATTTAAACAATTTATTACCAGGTTTTTGATTGTACCAAGTGTATTAGTAAGTAGAATAGACAGTTTAGTGGTGGAACAACGGCTTGAAGACGAAATAAATCTATATTTGTGAGGTGTTTTGTGCAGCTTCGGAAGCCAGTACATAGTTAACTAGTATATGTATAACCTTGATTAGTGGAATAACAAACGGTTCATTGAAAAAATGTGCAATAAAAATTAGTCCAGAAATCACTTAACTCTAAAATACCAATAGGCAACAAATATCTTAAAGTTTGTGTCAATGTATTGTGTTAGCTTGCTTGTCATTTGCACTTGACGATTATGTTTGTTAATATTGATAAAAGTAGATGTGAGATATAATACATCAATTAGACTGCAACCCAGTGACAAAAGTTACAAAAAAACATCTAATGGCAACATACAGTCTTCAACAGTAGACAGCTCTAGTAGACAGGTGTCTAAACAATGTCTTTAAACCTATCTTGAAAAAAATATGCTTAAAATAATTCAAGTTAGAAGTATTCTGAGGTACAAATCTTATAAAACGCATGAAACAATCAATGAAAGATATAATTTAAGAGCTAAGCAACATACTTTTAATTTTCATCCGTAGTAAGGCCCTGTGTGCATTGGAGGTGGACCAGAAAGAAAATTAGGATAGTAAAAAGTAGCAGGTTGTTGAAATCCACCTCCTCCGCCTAATCCAAAGTTATTACCACCTATTAACCGACTTAAAAGTAATGCTCCTAAGATTTGTGCATCAATAACTTGTGCACAGAACAATATAAAAACCAGCGCCGAGCATGATAACTTCATCATCTTGTAATTGTCTGAAAAAGAAAGAAAAAGTGAAAAGGAATCCAGTGTAATAAGATACTTTGAATTTTCAAATCTTTAATTATCACATCTTTCTTTTTTTTCTTTGATTGACACAAATTTGTTATTATAACACGAATACATCAAAAAGATAAATAACGTGTGGTAAGTACTAAAGTAGTATAAGCATGATATGTGTGTGGTTACGTAATTTACTAATATATATAATGCAGTACATATGCACAGTCATAAATTCAAATATCGATTACAATAAAAAATATTAGGAGTTTTCTTTCTGCCAAAAATATCTGAATAGTTTTCACCAAGTTTACCCTATCAGATACAATAAGTTACGGTTATTAAATATGGAATCGAACACAACTTTTAGCTTAGTTCTGCAAAACTAAGTGTCTTTTCCTATATTTTTTCGATAAAGAGTACAACTCTCGATCTGCATATATATACTTTAAATCCGAGCGTAGTAAGAGAAGTTTTAATTGTTTTCCATGTGCAATTTCAGCAAAGCCTGTACGGACAGCCCATTCAGTTTAATTTTATCGAATTTGCATTTATTACGTTTTTTCCAAATAGCCCATTTAAAATAAAGTATTATTGCATTAACAATTCTATTGTTAGGATTTTCTGTATTGGTTCCTAATACAATATCTTTTTAAACAAGTGTCTCATTGCTTCTTAAGTTACAAAGTTGTAAATTTCTGAAAACTGTTTCTATCAATGATTCAACATTTTTGCATTGATAAAATAAATGCTCAAGAGTTTCAACATTATTATTTTCATCACATAAAGGAAATTTTCCGTTTGACATATTCATTATTTGAAGTCTGTTTTTGGTATATATCATTCTATGTATACATTTCCATTGAAATTCTTTGACTTTTTTATTGATATCCATTTTACTGAGATTTAGCCAATGCGTTCCCCAATTTATTTTCTCGCTATACAAATTTTCCCCTTTTGTTAGGCTGGTCCTCTTCCTTGCAACATACGGATATCTCAGAGCCAAACAGATAAAGGACAGGGAACCAGTCTACCCCTTTTGTTTGACATTTAGGGGTTTCCTGTTTATTGTTAATTGTAGATATTTTAATTCAAATCTTTTATTTTAATAATTTTGTTGTCTGGATTAAGAAATTCAAAATTTCTGAAATTTTGATTTTGTTACTTTTTAAAGTGCGTTGAACCTGGGAACAGTATATCTATATGTTCCTGGTTGAACATCGTTGTTTTTTTAAATTTACAAAAATGTTTGTGATATGAAATTTTCAATTCGTGAGTATTCCGAAATACAGTTACTTTTAGTTAGTTGTTGGTATAGTGCATTGAATGATATAAAATCTTTAATATTATCGTCCCATATATCACCAATACTTTTTGAAAAAGAAGAATAAAATAAAGATTTGCCCGCCCTCAAATAGTAATGTTAAAACTTCCTTATATTATGAGTCTGACAATGTTTTATTAAATATTTCTTGCAATAACGTACAAAATTCTTCTTGCATGATATTCCATATACAATATATAATACCACATCTTCTTATTTTCATATTGTCGGAAAATATAAAATTTATTTGTATGAGTTTAAGAAACAGGACGAAAAGCGAGGCTCGCCGAGCTTTTCTCCTGTTTCCTAGCAAGTACACACAAATTAAATATTTCCGACAATGTACATATATTGTGTTTATCCTGCAATTTACACCGGCACTTGAAGTTTGAGTTGTCTCTGATTTTTCAAAGAAATCGACATAGTTTAAACGCGGACCGCGAAGAGGACCACCACGTTCATTTAATTTGTTTTCTATGCGTCTTGTTAAATCTTGAGCTCTTTCCAAATGCCATCCCTCGGAGCTAAATGAATTTGAATAGACTTTAACTTGTTCATTTAGTCTTTCTTCTATATTGTATTTAAAACGACCTCTTTTTTTTTTATTCGACTCCATAATTCCTTTTTTTCAGTTTTGCATTTCGAGATTGAAAAAGTGGCTGGACGATTTTCCCCGTTCTGCTCATTTGACACGCGCCCTTATTTTATACACCTGTAGTACCCCGGTAGGTATTTAGTCACACCATCTTTAGACGATCTACCGAAAGTACCCAGAATCCCCCTCTTTGGAATAATGGACACGTAAAGCAGACGCTAACAGCCAGCAAAGAGCCATCCAAGAGCATCAGTGCGATTATGCACTTAACTTAAGGTAAGCAGACGCGTCAATTCTTACATTGGCGTCTGCGAGCAGCCTTTGGTCGAATTTTTAAGCGGGGAGGTCGTTTTTTTTTGCCAAATTAATAAGGGAATAATGGGGGCCTAGCCAACAGGTATACCGAAAAAGAGACACCAAGGTTTCGTACCTTTAATGGGGAAAGTGAAAGCACAGCATCAAGGCATGTCAGTAGCAGCGGGTACCAAGGGGCAACAAGATGGGGAACAGGGAAACACAGAAGCTCACAACGAGATGCTTTTGGGCGGCAGGAGGGAGTTGGGGGGCATACACCCAGAGAGTCCAAGACCCATCAAGGAGTCCCCAGGGGGTAGACCTCCAATCCTGCAAAGAACCCTCAGGTAAGATGGAAAAACAAATTGGCAGGCCTTTTATGCCAAATTTTCCCCACTGGCTGCGGTAAGCGCTTGGACGGAAAACCAAGCGAGTTTTATGCCTTACTGTTAGAAAGAAGGCATGACCTGACCTATGAAGACCTGGTTCATAAATTGGCCAAACGTTTTGAGTTTTATGAGTTGCCTGAAACAGCCCAGGTTCAGTTTAACGTTGCCCAGCAAGGTAGGGACGAAACCCTGGAGGACTGGGCCGACAGAGTCGTGTCCCTTGCCACCAAAGCATTTTGCCACCTGCCCGAGGACCATATGTATCAACAGGCAGTCATGAGGTTATGTCAGGGGGCCGCAGACAAGGAGGCAGGAATGTTGGCCTCCAATGTTAAGCTCCAAAGCATTGAGGACGCGGTGGATAAAATACGGTGGCATCAGCATAATCACCAAGCTATCTATGGCCGGTCTTCCAGGAAGGAGGTAAAAAGTGTCAGCCCGGACACCCGAGGAAGGGGGCTTAACAATTACCTGGTCTGTTCCACTACCAAGTCGGAAGTCACTGGGCTTTCCATCCCGAGGGAAGTAAGGGAGTTGCAAACCCAGTTTAGCACTTTGAAAGGGAAGGTACAGGGAAGTCTGGGGAATTTATTGTCAGAGATTCAGAGGTTAACCTTTGCTGTCAGAAACAATGCCCGCCAAGCATCTGGTAGTCCTTCCCAAAGGTCCCCAGGGGGAGGCTGTTTCCACTTCGGTGAGGTAGGCCATTTTAAAACGGAATGCCCAAATTTCTTGCGAGTAATTTCTAAACCAGGGGGCAAGAAACTTACTTTTGAGGACACCAAGGGTCCGTTAAACTCCAACGGGTCGACTCCAGAGGTCTGAGTCTGGCCCCCATACACAGAAGTATTAAGGACCTCAAAATAAACCAGCACCCCACCTATGCAAATATGATTAGAACAGGTACAATAAGTCAAATAAGTGCTACACAGGGGGACCAATTGGACCTGCCAGGGGGGGGGGGGGGGCGGGCTATCCTTTAAACAGAAGATTAACTCACAGAAAAAACCAGTACAGGGCCTCATGTTTGATAGCCCCCTTACTTCCAGGGTTAATGCAGTCAATCAAGCATGTTCTGAGGACATCACTAAACCCATACAGACACCCTACTGGAAGAGATAAGTCAGCACTGGGGCACAGGTCAAGGGCAAAGGCTATTACAAGAGGACGTTTCTGTCGGTGAGTCCTTCATTCTCAATCCATTTCAAACAGCAGGTCACATGCCAGAGGGGATGGATATGAGTTCAAAGATACCATTAGGGGAGTTACATATTGAAAAACAAATTCTGGGGACTGAAGAGGGGGACCCAATAAATAACACCAGTCCTGTAATGTCATGTTCCAAACGGGAGTCTCCTTTAAACCAACTACCTGTAGAGTTACCCGAAACTTTACAGTCATGTGAACGTGAGTCTCAAAAATTAGGAGACCGTTCTCTGAGCCCAGTTCATGGTCAAGAAGGGCCAGGGGGTACAACTGTGTTCAAGGCAGGGGTAGTACAACATCAAGGACCCAATCCTCTGTCAGAGAGAGGGGGTGCCCCGAACCTCTTGGTCTCAACAATGTCTGGTCTTGCATGGGAGGCCCCTTTTAGCACGTTTGAAGCTTTGAAAGAAGATGAGTGTTCAAAGATGAAAATTGGGGAGGATGCCCTTGGTTTGATGCCCGAAGGGACAGCAGAGATGTTGAGGGAGGTTGGAAACTGGGCAGAAAGAGTGGAGCAGGCCGAGGCAGAAGAAGCTCAGATTAATGGAGAACAGACACAGCAATGAGACACTGGCATTGCTTTCTTAGAACACAATCAGCAGTTGCTCACAGTGCATCCACTGTTAGAAAACAATGGTGTGTGTGGGATTTTAGACAATCCACAAAGGGAAGGAAAAGGAGTCATTCAAAAGGAAGGCATTGAGGGGATACTTCCAACCCAGCCCGTCCAGTTTGAGTATGACTTCCAGTTGTAGGGAGGGGAACTAGGAGATCAACCAAGCAGGGGACATGCCATTAGGGGAGTTACATATTCTTCGAAGGGGAATAGGGATCTAATTTTTAAAAGGGGATGATGTGGGGGAGATGTATATCCTCATAAGATGGAACAGGTAAGCTGTTTCTTGTTTGGCCATTTTTACCATTCACATTTGGAGGAATGTGGGTGAAGCCTGACAGATCATCCCTGGCTACTCTTAGCTTGGGGACCTCGGACAGGTTTAGCCCCTCCAGGCCAATGTAATGGTTCTGGCTACACAAATGAACTGATGAGGGTGTACATAAATGTAAATACGTTTTTTAATATTTCCTATTGTTATGTATCCTGTTACATTGTTTTATTATGGAAGGGCCTGGGGAAACATCTAGTTGTGTATTCATACCCAAGGGGACCCCTTGTTATATGGGGGGTCTTAATTGA